AAAATGTGATTTTCTGCACTTAAGGGAGAATTTTAATTTTTTTTTTTGTTGAAACTGGGCACCTCAGAGTGGAAAATTAGATAGTCATTCATTTTTCCAGTTCGGCTGATTATTTTATCAGCTGCAACAGGAAGGAAGCAGAAAATGAGAAAGGAATGAAGATGGCTAACCCCCTTCTCATCATTTCAAATGTCGTACTCTCCACTGTAATATGCAAATGTCCTGTCTTGTGACTCAAACATCCCACTGCGATGTAAAAATGATATAACTGCAGTTGGTAATAGCCGGGTATTTATCGAGTTTTTATGCGTTTTGTGCTATCACGGGGTCGTTTGTGTGTGTCCGTGCGGGTGGGTGTGTGTGTGTGTATGTAGGTGTGTGCGTGTGTGTGTCTAATGCATTTTTTTTTTTTTTTGAGTGGAGGCAGCTTGATATTGCTGTCGGCTGGAATCGGCGCCCGTCATTATCCCTTCCGGTTGTGTCTGTTTTAGTTTTTATCAAATATGTTCGTTTGACCGAAATTTTATATATCACCTTGCACTTGGCCACGTAAAACCCCGTGTCATTTTACTCTTTAAGTGAACTGTAATAGTGCTTTTGGTGCCTATTAGATAGGATATCACGTCGTTTTCTGACAGGAATTTGCATAAAAGAAGTTAGTGAATAAATTCGTACCTTTTTAGGGTTAGAGAGAAAATATGTGCAAAAAACGATGAAAGGGTTCTAAAGAATTATTTAAGTAGGTAAAGAAATGTTTCGGTCGATTAATCCGTATACATTTCTTACCTTTACCGCAGTTGGACCTCGTCAGTACAACGATTGTGGTAAAAGAATTTTGAATGATAATTTAGTAGGATAGGAAATTGAATAAGCTAATTGATGTGCTTGTAAAAGTAAAAAGAAAAGTAGAAAAAAGTAGAAGATAAAAGATAAAGTTAAAGAAAAAGCAGAAGACAAAGTAGAAGACAAGGCATATAACATAATCTTGTTGAGGGCAGGGGAAATGAGGGGACACACAATTATTTGTCAGTGGTTTGCCCCGCTTTTGCAGAGGAAGGGGGAGGGGAGCTCTAATCAATTGAGGGGACGATATGACGACCTTCTCCCCCTCCCCTTCCTTCCCGCCAGCGAAAAATTCTTGGTTTTTCGGTGATGACGGCCTCCTCCCGCTATTGCAGTTAATCAGATCTAATTTTGATATGCTTTAAATATGCATTTTTTCAGAGGATGTTGCCTCAGTAGTGGCTTCGAAGCTAACACAAACTCTGTTGGATGAATTCCTGTGTGCTTCTCTTCTTGAACAAATACCATCACCACCCTACTGGAAGACACTTTCATTTCTTAGCAGACGTTGGCGTCATCAGGTAAACGCTCGTTATTTTTTTTTAAAAAAGAAAATTTTTGGCTTGTAAGGAAAATTTCAAAAAAGTTTGGCTAAATTAATATTTGGAAAAGTTTAGGTAAGTTTTATCGAGAATTGGGCGCGAAAAGTGTTATCGTTATCGGTGCTTATTGTGCAAGAGATTTATGGCGAAAATTATTGCACGATAAAAATAAGTCAGTTTTTAGGTTGTATTTTATTTTGTGAGCTCAACCGTCGCATTTCTACACCGTTTTTTTGTATGTTCCTAGTAATTCTGGCGATTTTTTGCCTTAATTGAGGCGATATTTGTAACGATCGGAGGACTTTGCACGGCCGTGGGTGTGGAGCAGCGCAGGGCACACACCCAAACTAATGAACAACCCTTTATTAGTACAGAAGCGCAGATTAAAAAAAAAAAAAATTGGAAAACAAACCGCAAAAAAAAATTTGGCAGCAGCTCTAAATTGCCATCGCACATTTCTTGTCGCAACTGTTGGGAGCAAGTGATCTTGCTCTCCCCTTTCGTGAACTTCCCAGCGCACAACCCTGGTCTGGAGCGTAGATCGACTGGAGAAGTTTAGGGCAGTGTGTTGGCGATCGACAGGACTGTGCGGCCGACATAAGAAGGATCGACATCTCCCCCAGCAGCAGCTTCGGCAGCGTCTCTAGGAACGTGGAGTGTGAAGGCCGGACGGACCGTGCTGACCGTGGTACCCCTGTCAGCATCAACCGAAGAATCACAGACTCGGAGCTCCGTAATTACCAGTGTTGATATTTTCTGTTGGACTAATAAAAATCGAACTCAACGTGTGTCGCAGCGGACACAACAAAAACAAACAACATTTCATTTCTAATCACATTGTTGCGGAGGGAAACTCGAGTCAAGAGACAGCAAATTTGCATAAAATACGAAATCGGACGGCCAGTGAGCAAGGCTTAGGGTTTAGCCGGCAGCTTTGTTTCCTTGCCGTTAGCACCTGTTCTTTTTGCAACACATTCGCATTTTGTTTTTGTTGAATTTTCTTGTATTCCGAGCCATTTTCCTCAATAACCCGCGTTACCTGAGTCTTTTGTTGATTCTATGAATTCTATGTCATAGCAGCTTTTTCTCAAAATTTTTCAGCCGATGACCAGGTGAAATTGTTTTCTGCTGAAGCAAAAAAGCCTGCAGAAAGCGTTACCATGCCAGTGCTGCACGTTTGTTGGTTTCAACTGATGCACTTAATTGGCAATCCGGCCGATATCATCTCGCATGATCCTCGCATTGCCGGTGCACTCCCAGCGAATCCTCTCCGTGCTCTTCTTACCACTGGTGAATAATTTTTGCTAAACTTTTTTCCTGAAAATAGCTAAAATATAGTTTTTTTTTGATGACTCCAGGGAATATATTTCTTAAGTTTTATGTTTTTTTAGTTTTGTTTAATTATACGTTTACGCTTCAGTATTTCTTAAAGTCGGTCAAAATCAAATTTCTAGGAATGCTTCCCTTTTTTGTTACATTCAAAGCATATACAGACTTTGTATTTTATCAGTTCCACAGCCGTTGTACTGATGAGGTCCAGTTGTGGTACTGAATGGGAATGTGTACGATTTAAGGGGCCGAAACATTCGTATTCAAATAATCTTTTAATATAATTTTATGTTTTTGTATATGTATATTATATCTATTTTATCTCTGCTATACGTTCAAAGCAGGTCAAATGGAT